CTGGTACTTTGCAGTGAAGGTTTTAATTTTCACCCGTGCTTTGACTTTAGCTACCGATCAAATAACCTTCTTCTAGTTAATTTTACCCGCCTAAAGTCTATTTTGCCCTCCCTGTCCCTAAACCCCAGTGCTTTGAAAAACTCTCGGCCATCAAGCCTTTTTTATCAAGTGTTTGGCCGTTTCCTCCTCCTCTCCACACGCACTGCATAAATGGTGTTTTGTGATACCGTGTCTAACCACAGAGCACCTATCGTCTAACCCTTCGTATTTGGCCCCATATGTCTTGGCATTAACTCTATGCAGCGCCTTCTCTTTGGCGCTGTTCTATGCTACCGGGCTGCCTCGTAGGTGTTCTGTGGCTGCCTTCTTCCTCTTCTGACCACTACATTTTAAAAATGTTCCTCTTCACGTCTACGCCGATGATATTGCTTTTTTCTGGTCATCCCGAGATATCAATAGTTTGTATCAAATCTTACAGTCATATTTGAGTGAGCTTGAGGTATGGCTTGGCGGGCTGTCTTTTTCACTTAATGTTAGCAAATGTGCTCTGCTTGTATTCCCTCTATCCGTTCCCGTATTTCTTTCACTGCATTATCGAAATGATCCGATTCCACAAGTAACAGCGCTGAAATATCTTGGTATTGTTTACGTGGACAATTTAAATTGGCAGCAACAAATAGAATCAAACACCCGTAAAGCAGAAAGCGCCGTAGGATTGCTCCGCCGGTTTTGCAATAAGAATTCAGGGATGCGCAGGGATACGTTACTTATGATATACAAACTTTACGTACGCCCAATTCTGGAGTTTGGCTGCGTTCTGTTTTCTGGAAGTGCTGAGTACAAATTAAGACCTCTTATATTGCTAGAAAGGCAAGCTCTGCAGCTGTGTCTCGGGCTACCTATAGGTGTGTCGCGAATAGTGTGCTTTATTTGGAAGCTAGAATCATTCCACTTGATGCTAGATTTCGACAGCTTACTGTGCAAACATTTTTAAAACTTTACGATGCGCCCCTCTTCTGTTCACAGACAGTTTTCATCAAACATCCAGTTTCTTTCTTTCAGCGCCCGTGGTTTCGTTATCAAAGACACCAAGTCATTTTCGTCGAGTCTCTGTTATCAAATCTTCACGTTTCCCTCCGGCATTTAACTCCCCAAACCCAATTCTCGGTGCCAGTTGACTTAATTTTCGATGATATTTTTCCGAAAAATGCCAAGTTACTTCCAAAGCACGTTCTGGAGGGCCTCCTTCAAGACAATCTCAGTCATTTTCCTAAATACGTAGTAATTTCGACGGACGCAACGCAAAATCTTCAGAAGGCTGGAGTAGGTATTTTTTCTCATCAGCTTAATTGGTCTTTTGCGCTTCGATTGCCTGACTTCACACCAATTTATCTCGCAGAATTCCTGCCTATTACGTTGGCTCTTCGAAAACTAAATTATCAGCAATCAAAAGCTATTATTATTTCGGATGCTTTGTCTGTATGTACACATCTAACGTCCGCAAAGAAGTCTCCTCTTCTCAGGATATTTTGGTCTCTCGTACCGCATAGCCTATCAGAAGTTCGGTTTATTTGGGTCCCCGGGCATGCTGGAATTGAACTAAATGAAATTGCTGATTCGCTCGCTTCGGCATCTTTAAATTTCCCGGTGGTGATAGTAGCTCCACAGTTTCCTTTTATTACTGCCGAACGATTCAAACGCCTGTTAATCTTAAAAATCAACGAAACGTCGCTTCTACAATCTGAAGAATTTCGGCACTTGCAATTCACATGGAACACCGCAAAATGCCTTTCCCGTCAATGTGAGGTGACCCTCACAAGCTTTCGCTGTAGAGTTTCTCTGTTAAATTTTTATCTCAACAAATCAGGATTTTCATTAACTAACCTATGTGTAGTTTGCAATGAACCGGAAACAATAGATCACTTTCTTCTCACATGCCGCCGCTTCGCCTCACTGCGCCGAATAATTCTTGAAAGACCGATTGGTATGCTCGGATTGCCAGTCAATACAGCCACCCTATTATCATTTGGAGCCAGTCAGTTGGGTGTGGGCCGCAGTGCTATTCTGTCAGCGCTACATAAATTCATTCAGGCAACCGGAAGGATACGCTGCTAGTGGTACTGCCAGATCATAGCCTCCTCTATAACTTTGTGCCCGAGCGGTCGGTCCCTCAGCGCCGTCCCCCGAGCTATTATGGGATGCGAGCGCTCCTGGCGGAGCGCCGAGGCGCAAAACGAGAGAATGGATGGCAGCTATGGAGAAAAAACCGGCTTTGAGTAACTACCGAAAGGGCAAAAATGAAATAAGGAGGGAGGCATTTTACGATAATTCAAGGGGAAGCGCTTTACTGTTTGAAGCGAGATCGGGTTGCCTTAGAACGCGTAGTTATAAAGCAAGATTCAGTAAAGAAGAAGAACAATGCACATGCACCAAACACCTCTGCGCCATCGGATGCATTAATTAGGCACCAGGACAGAGGTGGACTCCTGTATCCGTCAACTGAGCTCGTAATGGTTCTAAATTCTCTAAAGAATTACGCGGAAGTTTTCCTCGCAAGAGCGAGAAAGATGAATCAGCCACTGAAGGCTGCCGTTGACAACGCCGCGCAAATACTACAGAAACGTGACAAACTCAAGTGCTCGACCCCGGGACATCATAAAAAACTTTTGGAGGTTGTGCTCGTGAAGTTTCTCCGCCCACTTTTTCTGAACTTCGCGACGAGTGTGACTGACAAACACGACTTGGCAAAGATTTTCATGTCAAACCATTGTCTCGAAAAGTGCTCAAGCTTTGAGCGCGAAATCAAATAACAAAGCTCACATTGCATTCTGCATACAGTGCTTGTGTTAAAAATTTGGTGTGTGCGCACTTCTTAACGTATACGCATAATCCAATGCAATGTAGACGGTTTCTAGACCGTCATAAACGCAAGCGTGCATAGGCCGCGTCGTCTGCTGTTATTATGGGATCGGTGCGGCATCTGGCGGCGAGCGCCAAAACTATAAGGGACGGATGGCGCGTATGTATTTAGCGCTAATGCGCGGGCACAAAAAAATATAGGAGGCTATGGCCAGATATATCCAATTCTTTCTCCCCCTTCCTCATTCTTGTTAATTTGTTTTGGCAGAGACTGCTGCACTGCGCGGCGCACAAGCCACCCCCACACAGAAACGACTGCTGCGCCGCACGGAAGTGACGTCATGCATTTTCCGGTTAAGCGCTTTGTTTAAATAGTTGGGAGTGTCTAGCGGTACGTCTTGACATAATGATAAAAGCAGCTAAAATTACGTCCAAACGAAAAAGTAAACAAAAATGTCAGTTAGGTTTAGCGTGACAACAATACAAAACCGGCTTGTTTGCCATCTCAAACTGATAGGCAGCTGTGGCGTAGTTGATTAAAGCAACGCATCAACTGGTGAGGTCGGTGGTTCAAGTCCCTGCGCAGTTTTTTTTTTCGTTCACGCATGTATTGTTTTAACATTTGCGCCTCCTCATCAGCCCGACTTGCTGCTGGTGGTGGTCCCGTCCACAGGCCCTGTATTATTGGATCTTCGATGACTCTTGCAGGATTGACTATATTTATTATGATAAAGTGTTTTGCGAATTAGTGCTGTTAATCGGCGAGACGCAAAAAGACACAAAAAACTCGAATGCAGCTGGCTGCATTGGTTTCTTCTGCACAGGTGTCAGGAATGTTGATTTCCACGGTTTATCAAAGTTTTGATGACAGAAAGGTGCACTGCAACGTAGTCTCGGGCAATTTTTTTTATGTCACTCAGTCTACCATCACCTGACGAGGTAACCGGCAGGCCGCTTTCTTTGAAAATACTGACGTGTCATCGCAATGTTCTAGGCGATCAGCACTTGATAAACAATGCCCAAGGACAAGTGCCGACGGCGTTAGCCCATCTAACTACAAAACAGCTTGTCTGCCTTGCTCAATAACACGCGCGGCCTGTGACAGCACGGGAGCATTCACGTAGCAACGGATGAGAACGGCCGTACGTGTTCGCACTTGACAAAACAGGCGGCAACGCAGTAGCTCTGGTCTTCGTAGATCACAGGCTTCGTAAGAACATTACAATAAAGTTGTTTCCATCCACCGTATGGACACTTCGCCGACGCACTGGGGTTTCATGCATGTGCGTCCGGTCAGTCACACGTGAACCGTGAGACAGCATTTATTTCATCGTCGACCTTGTCCTTCGCGACAAGCAAAACTCGGCAGCAAGAACACTTTCACCTTCGACATCACCACGCTTGGCATTGCAATCTAGAAAATGCAGTACGTTCAACAACTGTAATCCGCACATCATACTGAGAAACTTTATGGCGCACACACCCAGATGAAGCTGCGGCGCGGTGGACGACCGCGCTAGCTCCAACCACCAGATTCAACTAAGCATCCAGCAATCACATGAAGCAGCGACGACACTCCAGTCCTCCTTGGGATTGGCCTAGGCCATCGCCACGATTTCATCGGGGTTTTGACCGCCTAACACATCGCAGGCGGCTACCATCTCGCAATGTTTACCTTTCGCAGCCGCAGCGCCCATGACGCCCCCTGTATTTAAAATACTTGTAATATGTATTTAAATAACAAACCTGAGCTAATTGACTCATTAAACAACTGCTTAGTAAAATTTTTTGCAGGTTTAACGCATTGCACACGATTAATTTACACATTTAACTAGCTTTAGATAATAATTTTTAAAGTGACGTCACTTTTGTGTGGCGCAGAAGCCATTTTTGTGTGGGGCTGGCTGCTGCGCCGCGCGGTGCAAGAGACGCTGCCATTTGTTTTATATATTCTGGTTTATCGCATTCTTCTGCAATTTTTCACGCTTTTTCAAAGGAACATTATTACTGTTCCTATCTAATTTTTCTTTATTTTTTTTAGCAAGCGTTGTAAAAAAATGATCTATTATGAGGTACAGTGTGGCCAATCCCCCATGTGGGTATGAGCCAAGATATCCTAGGAGACAAGACAAGACATTTTATGCTTGTGTGTACCCATGGAAATGTAATGTTAGGAAAGTAGTGCCCTCTAAACAAACCCTCAATTTCTCCACCTTGTCATTAGAGGTGTTCTCTGGGCAGGCCGCTTGAAAATGTAGGGGGGTGTGCCTGATATGCGTGAGCCCACTGGATCGAAGGTAGCCGGACCACAAAGCTTCGCAATCTGCGTTGGTGAATGAGCGGTTTCTTCAAAAATTCGCTGAGAAGTCATTCAAGAATGGGAGCATTAATATCCGTGATCTTGAGCACAGTGCAGTCCTACTTGCGAGCACCGGTCAGCCGTAAGCATCCCTTCGGTTTTCCCTTGCCTCCCGAGATCCACAAAACTCTCACTGCGGAGTACATAGAGTCATTTAAGCAAGTCTTCGTCGTCGGCGACGTACATGGTTGCTACGATGAGCTCATGGATCTTCTTGCCGTGGCGAAAGCCAGAGGTAATGACACGCTCAAGTTGTTCGTCGGCGATCTCGTCAACAAGGGACCCAGAAGTGGAGATGTACTTGAGTTTCTGATGAACAACCATTCCTCGTGTCACTCCGTACGTGGCAATCATGACGAGGTACGTCGTTCTATGCGACAATCTTTCTCGTGTATTTGTTAATGGCGATTGAGATTCAGGCACTGCAATTCTGTCGCACGCCGATGCTACACGCCATATTTAAGCATGCTTACTTCCAAGCTGTATTCCAAGTATGCCTTATCCTTAGATGCGCTGGCAAGATTCCATGCAGACCGACTTCAGTGAGAATCCTGTGTGACGGAAAATGAATACAAGCTGCTTCTTCACTTGGTCATTTTTCATTAGAGTGGCTAGCGGGTTCATGCTATTCGCTCGAAAATCTTTTGATTTCCTACAGGCACCCAGCGCTAAAACTTTATTGCCTTTAGTTAGGTTTTTACCGTATTATCACGCACTTGATTGATATGTGGGGTTTAACGTCCCAAAACCACCATATGATTATGAGAGACGCCGTAGTGGAGGGCTCCAGAAATTTCGACCACCTGGGGTTCTTTAACGTGCACCCAAATCTGAGCACACGGGAACACAACACTTCCGCCTCCATCGGAAATGCAGCCGCCGCAGCCGGGACTTGAACCTGCAACCTGCGGGTCAGCAGCCGAGTACCTTAGCCACTAGACCACCGCGGCGGGGCAATATTATCACGCACTTGTTTTTATGTTCTCGCGAAAAGGAAAAACCGCTGTATCCTAAATAGCTGGCAGTTTGTCAGGGCAATCAACTACTGTTTGTTTATTTATTTTGTTTGTTGTTTAGACCTCACTGTATATGTAGAACAAAAAATAAAGCCGCACGAATTTGATCAACAGGTGTTAGAAATAATCGATTCAGGTGGCTGAACTTGTGGGGAAAATCAGAAGAGTATTAATAATAATATTTGGGATTTAACATCCCAAAATCACGATATGATTATGAGAGACGTCGTAGTGGAGGGCTCCGGAAACTTAGACGGTCTGGTGTTCTTGAATGTGCACTGACATTGCACACTACATGGGCCTCTACAATTTCGCCTCCGTCGAAATGCGACCGCCACAGTCGAGATTGAACCCGCAACCTTCGGGACTGCAGCCAAGCACCCAAGAAGAGTATTGATACCGAATGTGTGCTCATACAAGCTGGAGGGCGAAATGCATTGCATTGTCAAAACAAGAAAAGCAGAGCCATGTGGGGAACTTTTTGTTGCTTTAATTCACACTCATGTAAAACTTATTTACCATTATAACCACTGTGAAGCCCTAGAACACATGGAATGCTATCGGGCTCAATAAAGGGCTTCACTGAGGTAAAATAGGACAGAAATGTGAACAAGATACATCTGCAGGATCTGGAAAAATGTAGTTCTCTTTTTTTCCATGTCACATTGTGGGCGCTCCTTACTTGCATACACGACTGACATATTTCATGTAATGATTTATTCTGTGTTTAAACACAATCCACTCTACTTGTTCACAGACTCAGTCGCATGCGATTTACCCTGGCAATTTATAAGCATTCCAAACAGCGTGCTGTATAAATAATAGCTTAACTGTGCACAAGATGCCTTTAATAGAAAAAAATTGTGGGCTGTGGGCAGAGAATTCAGACATTATGTCATCCATTGCAACATATGACATTTGCTGATTTTCGCTAGGGAGTTGGGGTGGCTTGTGGATGTCGGCATGGGAGCACTTTTACTCTTTCACGTATTGTTACATCATCCTATATTAAAGTACCCATCAGGAGTGTAGCCAGAAATTTTTTTGGGGGCAGGGGTGGTGGATTCAAGCTCCCTGTAGGTATGTTTGTATATGTCTTTGTACCTGGGTGCGTGTGTGCACACACACATGCGTGAAATGTTATGGGGCATGGAGCCCCCAATCCACCCCAATGGCTACTCCACTGGTGCTCATCAATTTAAACATTTTCTTGTCATTATCAAGGCTAGACACATTGTGAGAGCTTCTCAATTGCCACCCTCTCTTGTGGAAATAAAAAAAAACTGTAACTAAATATTTATATTCAAGAAACTCCCATTACCATATTTTCATTTATAATATCCTAAACACACGGTTTGTGTGCACTTCCAGTACCTTTTGCTTTGTGTGGTGCTACAGCATTTTCAGTGTTTATGAGCATCTAGAAACTTGTGAGCTATAAATACAACGAAAAGCCTGCCCAAAATCCGCATTGTCTACTACAAAATATTTGCTGCTTTACAGCATACAAGTCCAGACTGGTCACACAAGTGCTCTGCCACATCACTCGAGCTTTTGCACATATAAATTACTGTAACAAATATACTAATTACCTTAAAAATTGTTTGCTTTAGGTCTTCTTAGCTTTTAAAAATATCTACACATTGAAAGGGACATCTAGGAACATAGACTTTTGCAGTATAATGTGGTCAGTAACTTTCTTTGTGTCATGTTTGTCTCAACTTCAGATTGACACATCTTTTAGAAGCATCACCTATGGTTTGATTATATAGTGGTATATAGGTTTCTCTTGTAGTCACACCTTATCAAAGTGCCCATTGCACTTTCAAGTGCTATAGATATGAATGTGGCCTTCTAGTTCTATAGGGGCACTGAAGTTTCTGTGATGTATTTTGTACTGGTAGCTAACTGTTAGTATTGCTCTTGTCATGCAGTACTGAGAGCACTACGGTGTGTCATACAGTACTCAGAGTACTGCGGGAAGGCATCAAGTCTGGAAGACTTGATGCCTTCACGCAGTGACTTGATGCCTTCACGCAGTGCTTACAGTGAAGGCATGAAGTCTGGAGGACTTGATGCCTTCACCAAGAATTCATCAACAGGATCATAAACAGAATCATAAAGCTAACTTGAGCATAGAACTGCCACTGAATTAAATTTCATGCTTAAAATACAAACAGGTGTTCTACAAAAATTTTTTAAAATATGTTCTGATATCAAAAGATTTAAAAAAATAAAAAAATAGCAGCTGATAGACGTGATGTGGAAACTCAAGTGCTCGGAATCAGTGTGGCACCTAAGAATTATCTCTTCAATAGATAATTGATGCCCTTGCATATTACTTGAAGGCCTCAAGTCTTCCCGATGAATGCCATCAGGTAGTATTTGAGGGCTTACTGGTGAATTGCCAACTCTTGAAAAGATCATGTGCGGTGTGACGACCGCTGGCAAAAAAAAAAAAAAAAAAAGTGTTCAACACTCTCATTTATAGCTGCGAGTGGTGATGACTAACACTCTCAGATGTACATCCACAGAAGTACTCGATAAAGTGGTCGTAAGGACCACTGTCACTGTAAGTCGATTGCTAGACTATTAGACGCCTTATCAGAAGGTTACACGTTCAGTCTCTGCCGGCGGCAAGTTTTATGTTCCACTTTTATTAGGTGCGAAATCACCTTGGGGTCTGGGCTTATTGGCATCTCCTGTCATCGCAATGTGTCATGCAGTCACAGTCCATTATAAGGTTAACTTCACGTGATGACATCATTCTATCATGGTTTCGTGACGACACAATGCTGACAAAATTTGTGATGCAAACATGACGTGGCAAAGCACCTTAATTGCTTGGCTTTTCAGTGTCTAATGTCGTCACAGTGTGTCAGGTAGTCACGGTTCATCATAGAGTAAAGTGCACTTGATAAGGTCGTTTTATCGTGGTGTCATGACAACACAAGGTCAACAAAATTTGTAGTGAAATCATGACGCGACTGTGACATGACAAAGCATCTTAGGCGCTCGGCTTATCAAGGTCAAATGTCGTCACGGTGTGTCATTTAGTGACGGTCCATCATAAAGTTAACTGCACTTGATGACGTCATCCTATCATGGCATCATGACAGCACAAGGTCGAGAAAATTTGTGACTTGATCATGACATGATCATGATGTGGCGAAGCACCTTAGGGTCTTGGTTTGTCAACGTCCAATGTTGTCACGGTGTGTTATGTAGTTACAGTTCATAATAAAAACGAGCATGCATCACAAAAGTGGGGTAAATCTACCTACTCACCAGAGGTTCACTAGAAATGAAGGCAACAGTTAGCCCAATAAATAGCTGATGACGTTGAGTGCATAGAGTTTCCTAAAAATTAACTAGAGGAAGCTCCGGCATTGGGATTGTTCAGCGACCGTGGGAATGATGGGTAGTACACAAATTTGCCTAGTCTTCGTACTTGCGGGTGGCAAATCGCACTTCTGGCTTCGTTTATTGCTGTGTTTCGGTTGTAATTCGAAGGAAAGAACGAACCCTTTTGAACTTCGTGACCCGATTTGAAATGGTAAGCCTAAAAGAAATAGGTGGTGAAGCGTAACCGCTGAAAATTTGCTGATTTTTTGTTACATGAGAAAACAGCTCCAACCCACATGACACACACAGAGCTAGAAGTACGAAGATTAGGCAAATCTATGTACTATATGATCATTCCCATGCTCGCTGAAGCGCCGTGTGTTGCAGCTCCCATAGACACTAGTGCCAGAGTTCCCTCTAGTGCATATTTAAAAAACTTTGTGGTTGAGTGGAGCTAAAACACTTCCGTACATGCCGTAGGAAACTGAAGCTGGGCATGTAGGGAATAAGAAGAGAAACAGGTCATGATTCGCCCCTCCCCAGGTTTCACAATAGTGCAGCTCAAACACCCTTCCCTACATGCTTCGCTCTTCCCAAGTGTTTTTTTTTTTCTTCACATTTAAATCACAATTACTAGAATAGAGAAATGACTAGTACGAATAATTGACCTGTACTTTCCTTGGCTGCAAAAATATCCTCTCTTTTGTTCAGTCAAAGGCAGCAACGGTGACATATGGTGTTGGGCTGATCACTAGTGCATACTGTTATACACAGATGTTACTGCAAAAACAGTAGACTCACAGAGGACAGTTATTGTTTATGAACAGGTTCACTTGCATTGTTTATTATTACATTCATCTAAAAATGAAATTGCTATACAACATTTCGTTCTTTTTATCTATGACCCAGGTGGTGCTCAGGGAGTACTACGCCTCACGCAACCCAATGTATGCCCTTCCTGCGGAGAATAATTGGATTAAACATCTCACTGTGTGCCAAATTCGTTACCTTGAGCAGCTTCCCTACACTCTGGTTATGCCAAGCCTCAACACTGTCATTGTGCACGCCGGTCTTGTTCCTGACCAAGGACTGAGTACATCACTGGTGGACATGGTCACAATGCGAAATGTCATTATTAATGATTGCTGGGAGAAGGGTGGCATCAGGGCCACCTGCAAGAATGAAGAAAATGCTGAACCTTGGGGCCAAGTGTGGAATGGGCCACATCATGTCATCTTTGGCCATGATGCCAAACGCAAGCTCCAGAAGTGGCGTCACTGCACAGGACTTGACACTGGGTGTGTGTACGGGAATGCACTTACAGGCATATTCATCACTGGAAACAGGGCTGGTGAACTTGTATCAGTGAATGCCAAGTCCACCCACCAGAGGCCTATGGACAAGCAGAAGTGATCGACTTTTCTTTCTTTTGCCTTCTTAGTGGCTGAAACAAAGTGCTCTTCATATAAGGACTGATTGTGCAGCAAAGGGGGAAATCTGATGACCTGGTGAGAACCACACATATGTACAAGGCTAGTCAATATTATTGCAGAAGTTTGCTTATTCTGTAGTTCCCAAGCTGATCTGGTTGGGAAATAGCTGCACATATGGCATTCCTCAGTCGTGTCTCAGATGAGCGGTGATGATGGCAGCTTTGTGATATTTTTGTTGTAGAACGTGAAAGAAAGAAAAGAAAGGGTTGAGATGTTTTTATGTGGCTTTCTTATTCTTACCAACTGCAAGGTTACTCAAAGTGCCCGTAAAGAGCATCTTTGTACGTCATCACCATGATGTGGAAAATTTTTGTTCAACAGTGTTAAATAAAAGCTGTGGTGACTTGTGCCAAAGAAAAAAAAAAGTAGCATTTCATTACCTTAAAAGGTTGTGCTTTTAAGAGAACATGAGGCATCCACCTATTGCAGTAATTGTGACAAACAAAGTTCCTGTTACTAGTAGCCTTAGCGGCAAGGTGAGCAGCACAGTCCAGTCAGCATTTTTTTGGTGAGGGCACCAAGTGATTCCAAGTTGTAAGCCTGGGCTAGAGTGGACAAACATTTAAAACTCCAAAATAATGAATTGAGCTAAGTGAACATGAAAACAAAGTTGAAATTCTGATGTATTTGGGGTCTTGAGAATGCAGACAAATTATGTGGGCAACATTGTTCGTAGCCAGGTAGTATTGTGAAAAATACGAGTTAAACGCCAAAGTCATGCATATTTCGTCACTACTTGTAATGGATTGATACAAACGTGGTGCAGTGAATTGCCAGAGATACCTTCCCGCTGGAATATTTAGTGTCATGAACACTTTTGCGCTTACGAACTGTATTTAGCTGGTTCGAAAGGCAATTTCAGTGTTCCTGCTCATATTGCTCACAATTTTATATCTTGCTCATGGAAATAATGTGGTGACGGACCACTGCACATTCTCTCTAGTTTTTATGAATGGTAAATGACCAACCTAACATGACATCATTTTCTGCGCAGATCCCATAGCAACTGTACAGTATCTCGAAATGTTGTGGCATAGTGCTTTTTTGTCTGGAGTGCCTATTGCTCCAAGTTTCACATTTGCTCTCCTTTGCTAGCTTTGCTACATGTAGGGATTGTTGGGATATTTATCTAGAGGTAGGGACAAATAGGAGTTGCCTATCTTTATAGGAATATATAGGAAGGTGCCTAGGGAGGGACAGAATTGGAGGGATGTGCCTTAATGTCTACATAAAAGAATGTGAACAATCACTTCCCACCGGAGGATGTGTGTATTTAGCACACTATGTGAACAAGTAAAAGCGTGAACCAAAATTTCAGGTGTCCTGTATTTTGAAGAGACACAAAGACCAATTTACCAGACCAAACATGTAAGCATATTTTTTTACAAAACATAGCAATTGTTGGATATGTGAACTTACGGTGGCACTGTATGACTGTGGATATTGATTTTTAGATAAAAACATGAAATCATTATCTGTTATTTGGGTGTTTCTTGGCTTTGTTTTGTTTTTGGCAGCCTTTTCTTTCTTCCTGTATGCACATGCAGCAAATTTGTGAATTATCACGCTATATATTGTTATAAGCCAAATAATGATTCATTTGACAGTTCAGTGCTGTCCTTCGTAGTCCTTCTACTCTGCCCGATAGTAGGTACTCTGCTATGTAAACATGCAAGTTCCAGCAACTTTGGTTGTGTCGCTTTCATTCTGTCTTAAAGGAGTACCGACACAACAAGGTAACTTATGGAATAGATTTGGATGGACACACGCATTATTTATGAAATAGCAGTGGATAACACTACTTAGAATCAATATTAAAGTGCATGTCGTGCCACTGGACACGAAAGGTGCCTTTCGTTTCCGTGTAAACAACCAACCGCCACCTGCATCACGAGTGTGTGTTGGCTGTTACAATCTTTGCGAGCATTCTCTCCTAGCAGACTTCGCGGGAGTACAAAAGCTGATGCCATTGCCTCGGGAGTGCATTTATGGGGGGACACGCTTATTTACAACGTCTCTGACGAGATTGTGGCAGCACGTTGGTGGCCTTCGTTGAAGAAAGTTGTTAACAGGGGCTGCATGTGCACGCAGTTCTGTGCACTCTGGTTGCCAACTATGTTTACAAAAAAAACACTCTGGGTCCTGCCTCATTTGGTGCACTGTGCATCCGAAACTGGGACAGGGCGGTATAAAACTGTCTCCAAATAATTAACCATTGCATGCTCAGACAAACGAGCTTTCCAGCCATGATAACTTGGTCCTTAGCTGCTTATTGCTAGACAAAAACGACGCAAAATTTTTTGTAAGATGTTTTTCAATTATTTTCAGCGGTGTAGCCAGAAATTTTTCCGGGAAACGTTGGTATTCGCACACTCTAAACCATCAGCCTGGTTAAACCACTTGTTGTTTTGCAATTTTAATGGTCATATCACTGGCATCCTTCTTGATAATTCATGCCAATGAAGCAAATGTGCATACAAGCTTTTATGTTGCTTAATATACACTTTTAAGCTTTTCCTGGTGGCCTCGTTATATAGTTCTCTACTCTGTTGGCTCACATGCTTTTATACTTTTGATAGCCTGCTGTACAATTTCCTCTGTAGTTCAATGTTTTAAAGCATACTGGCATTTTCTCTTGTGCAGTTTTATTATTTTTTTTAACTGCATGCTGATGCAAAAGTGATTCTGCATACAATAGATACACTGACCATGAAAAGTATCCTACAGCATTGTTGATAAGACAAATATAAATACTATGTGTACCATTTTGCTAGTGTAGTAGTTGATGATTACAAGAAAGATCAATTTATTTACATAAACTATTTAAAAGTATCTTTACAGTGTCTTATTTGATTTTGTTTTATAGAATGTACTTTGCACATTCTTTCTCTATGCTTAATATACAAATCTTCCATAGGTTTATATACCTGTGTACCTCTTGGTAAACTATGTTGCAGCGTGGCAAAATCTATGGACACCATAACCAAACGTAAGACTACACACAGCGCTGTGTGTCGTCGTACAGTTCTTCACGATATGCATGTTCTTTGCAGCGTTACAAGTTTACAAAATGAACCTTTACCAACAAGCTCATGTATCCACCCTTATTATGGTACCTTTCAGCAAAATTATGCCAAAAATTGCTTTGGCTGGTATCATCCTTTGAAATAAAAGATGTTTTTAAAGATGCTGTCTTGAAGGGACTGTCTACCGTCCCTTCATTGCTCTCCTGTTCTGTGTCACAATAAAAAGTGTACCATGTGAAGTGTCTAACCTTAAAGGGGTTTCTCTGGAAAGTGCATAGAAATTTTTAAAACGGATTTTTTTTCTGTCCACGTTCTGTCTCCTTCCATTGGTGGGATGGAATGTCCACAACATTGGTCGGTGCCAGTTGAAGTCAAAAACTGAAATCGCGCGTGCTTTTTGCAGGCTTCATCAAGTTTTTTTTTATTAGTAAAACAAATACCTGAGTGGTCCTTTTAGGCAGGCACACATGTTTCTGTTGTTCTCATAAGCGGCGGCGGACGCCCTGCTTGCGTTTCTTCGTCGTTTGCAGGCAAGCTATTTATGTTAGTCTATGGGCAATCGATGGACGGATGAATTGATATGGCTACCCTTTAGATCGGGCGGTGACTAACGCCACTTAACCGCAATATTCAGTGAACCGAAAATCAGATTTATCTTTTTTTTTTCTCTTTAAATAATGAAGTTGAGGACTGGTACTTTGTAGTGAAGGGTTTAATTTTCACTCGTGCCTTGATTTTAGCCACCAATCAGATAACCTCCTTCTTGTTAATTCTACCCACTTAAAGTCTATTTTGCCCTCCCTGTCTCCAAATCCCAGTGCTTTAAAAAACTCTGCACCATCATCCTGAACTATAGGGTGAAGCCCTTTACAGAACATTATTGGGTGTTCGGTAGTTTCCTCCTCCTCTCCACATGCACTGCGTACCGTGTCGACCCCTTCGTATTTGACCTGGTGTGTCTTGGTTCTCAATACTCCCGTCCTGGCCTCAAACAGTAGAGAACTACCTCAAGAATTATCATAAGGCCCGTTTGATTCACCTGCATCGGTCGGAACCGGTTCACGGCTGTGCACGCGAAGTTCAGAAATTGTGCAGCGTGAGTTCAGCGGTGCAGGCAGAGCACGACACCCGAAACAAATGACGATGTGCCGACAAGGTGTTGGCCTTATTTGTTTTCGGTTAATTTACGCCGTTCATCAGACACTGATTTATGGCGAAACGCACATGCGGACAGTTTATGAGGCGCAAAGATCTTGAAAATACACAGCGCGTTTGTAGAGGCAGGTACGGCGCCTAAGCCACCTACGTCCAAGTGCTGCGTCGTCTGCTCAGCTGCACGCGCGGCTACACCAAGCCGGCACCGTCAGCAAAGGAGGTGCAGGAAAATCGTGAACCGGTGCTGCACCTCTTCTGCACCTTTCGAAACGAATGGCAGAGTTCAGCGGTCGTCAATGCTGCACCGCTGAAACGAATGGCAAGGTGCAGCACCTCGTGAACTGGTTCACGTGGTGCAGGTGAATCGAACGGACCTATAGGTCCTTTCCTTGGCAATTTCCTGCACCGCTGGTAGCACCACCGGACAACTATTTGAACGCGGGAAAAAACAAAAGCAAATATTGGACTCTGGCACAACTTAAAGCAGTCTCAAGTTCATAAAATACAATTTTAAGTTATGCGTGCTTGTTTTTAAGCAAATTAAATCTTCCTGCGGGGATTTCTCGTCCTATCAATAGACTGTCAAGATTGAACACATTCGCTGTTGAGTGACCCTAGTGCTCACTTTTGATCAACTTTCAACATCAAGTTAAAATGATAATTTATTTTTTCTGGCATGAAAGCATGCTTGTTGCCGTCGATGTGATGAGCTATCTTTTCATTTGCGCCACAATCAGAAATTTTTTTTCGAGTTGTAGACAATCTCTTTATTCTTACTGCGTTTCGGACAAATTCAGAATGGTGGTAAAACACATTTTTGGTGGTGTTATGCTGCATTTGAAAAAAGTGACGATAGCCAAACCTTTCTTCTTTCTTTCTTTTTCCCTGGACAGTGACTTGAGATACAGCTGTAACAGCAAACTTTTCAAGCAACAATCAAAGAAAATTAACAAAGTGTCGCATTTGCTTTTAATATCTTCAAATAATTTTTGTGCAGTTCTGAAAGCTGTGAGCCAAGATTAAGGAATGATAGATACAAGCACAGTCTAGCTGCTGGAATGTGAACCCGCAGGCAGCACTGACTACCACTCTTACTGCTTTCTTCCAAGTGCCTGCTTGTCCTGGAGTCGCAAAAAAAAAAAGTTGTTTTAAGATCAGCTAAATGGTTCTGTGATAAAGTGTAAAAAAATGAAACTGAAGCAAGTTCGGCAGTCATGATGAGGCAAGTGACAAACTGACCGGAAGGGATTAAGAGGGAGTAGCAATATTGCCACCAAATTGGTCGTGACGACTTTGCCAAAGCATGTGATATGCCACAGTGAGACAAGCTGGTTGTAGCTCATCACCAGCTAGTATGTTTAGTAGCCTGCATGTGCAGAGAGTGCCTGGCCCATACTCTTGCCACAACTGCTGGCAGAAATGAACTCATGGCCGATGCAGGTACAAAGACTGTTGCCACGTTTTGCAATTCACTTTTGCCACACACTTTCGAGTTTGTCACATAATGTGACTGCAATGCACATAGATAATTGCTGCATGATTAATCTACTGATTGGTCAATTAATAATGTAGATAAGTATAGAACTATATTACAATTTTGCAGATGTGTTATACAATTTTTAAAACTACTGATACGAAAAAACTTGTCTAAACCACCATTTTTCTCCTTGGTGCACCTAATGGGCTGTGGGAAGGATACTTCTCACTAGGGGGCTTCTGTGTTACTTGCAAAAAAAAAAAAAAAATCTTTTCAAGAAACATGCACTAGACATGCACATTCTCGTGTATGGTACACTGTTGCTAGTCATGTCCATTGGGCTTGTCTTGATGATGCCATTTCTTTGGCCATTTCGTATCGATTAAGGCCACGAAATCTGCATATGACTTAAAAAAAAAAGATTTGTGAACAACGAAAAATTGTTGCTGGTTTTTAATTTTCTGCATGTTGTGTATGTGTGCCGGCTTTTCGATGCAAGTGTAGCAGAGAAGCAGTTGTGATACATTTGCAGCCGCAGCTTTGTGCCACTTGGTAAACACTTCATCGGACAGAATGACTGAAAGTACAGAACAATGATCAAGTTTTTTTCTGGGTCTCTGCCATCAGAAGTGGCTGTAGTTTCTGCAAAACAGTATTCCCACGGCACATACTGGGCTTTGAGAACAGTACTTCCAACCGATTTGCTTTCACAATGTTACATGCAAAAACTTAAAAACTTAGCATTTGCAGTTATGTATTGCGAAAAAAAAAAAGCAGTGTTTGATGGCCTGTGCTTGTTCCAAAGTTTTGTCAGTTAAATAAGCTTACGGATCTAGGCACAGTGCTTTGTATCTTTGCCCCTGTCTTGTTTATTTGTCTGGTATTTTGTGGCACCATTTTGTTGTGGCATGAACACGTTTTGACTTATCTCATCAGAATTCAGTCATTCTAACAGGCAGAGGGCTGCTGTTGCTTAATAATACCTGCTGATAGAATAGGTAAAAGCATGCGGCGTTCAGCGTAGTGCTTGGCAGAACAAAGTTTCAGGCAGGACACTCACGCTTTTTCTAGCCAGCCAAATTCTAAAACGGGCTCTCGCTGATCCAGCCCCGAAACGCATCGTATGGGCTCCTGGCCATCAGGGCCTACGAGGTAATGAGGCCGCTGACGCGGCCGCCCGAGCGCTTACCCACCGGGCTCCTCACCTTGGCTCTTATGACTCGGAGGCCAATACACCGCTGCTGCGGTTCAAAGAAATTCTCACCTATTATCGTGACACTCACCGCCTTTACCCGGCTCCTGCAAAGGGGCTGAGTAAGGCGGAAGAGCGAACTCTAAGACGCCTGCAGACAGGTACTCTACTCTGTCCTGCAATCCTAAAGCATTTCGATGCGAACACAGATGGGCGGTGCCCACACTGTGGGGAGACGTGTGATATCTTCCACATGGTATGGGCATGTCCGAAAAATCCCCTCCTACCCCCTTCCCCTACCCCTTCCCGAGAGGCATGGGAGACTGCCCTCCTCGACAGCTCATCACTAGAGTCTCAACGGGCTCTGGTGAGACGGGCGCGAGTAGGGGCCTCGTCATGCGGTGTCCCGGACTAAGGACGCCGACCATGTAGCAGGGTCATGCTTTGGCCCCGTACCTCTCTCTTTTACAATAAATGTTTTTCATCATCATCATCACGCTTTTGTAAATCACTGGCATGGGATCACCAAATTTTTAAAAAAAGAGCGGTCACTTTTCTCTCTCCTGCGTCGTGTGTAATGGAAGTAATAGGACAGAGCTAGGGTTACATGTACAAGTGTACATATCGCAGTGCCTCACAAGGCACGTGAATTTATAGGCTTCTGTTTTGTTTTTTTTTGCTGTTTTTATTCACGAGTGACGCATGCTCAATGGCCCAAATTTGAGCGAGGTTTCACTAGAAAGGTTGTCGGATTATTAGAAAACAAGTTTTGTTTGTTCATGAATGGCACTGGCAAAGTCTGTCTAATATGGCCCCCATTACTGCTGAATATGAAGTTTGTCATTCAGGAATATTCTAGAATGGTGAATGTAAAATATCCTGAATAGCGGCAGACTCGTGCTTTTAATTTTAAGCACACTTGCTGATATGGGGACAAGAGTTCTACAAAAAAATTCACCAAAACAATTTTTTTTGTTTTAAATTAAATAGCTACTCTTGTTCATTTATGCTTATATTACATACAAAATCAGATTATTAGCCACAGTGCCATTGTATGCAATGCGTATGAGTGGAATTTACTTTTTCCAAGTCTCAAAATATGTCCCAAATGAAAATGTGCAACTGCAAATCAAACTATAGTTTCAAATGGCTTTAAAGGGATACTAAAGTGTAACAGTGACTCCAGATTGATAGATTGCACTTTGAGAATACTAATGTCATAAGATTCACCATTATTGGTTTGTTATTAGAGGAGTAATTCAAGGTTGAAGTTTCATTTTTAAATTGTAAATCTTCACACGTGATATCGGGAATTTCAAAATACATTTTTCATATTTTCGCAACATTGGCTCGATGAAACTTTCTGAATCTTCATATGGTAGGTCTACGACCCCTAGAGATAGTAATCTACTTCATTTTTACCGATCAGCAGAAACTACGCTGGACCTAGTAGACGCCGTCAAATGACATTACAGGAATCTCAAGATAGCGTATTCATTTGCATTTTCTTTTCCCGCGTTCACTTGCTTACCTTGCATTGTCTTATGGTAACAGTGGTATTTTCAGGAATGTGGAATCGTACTCTACTGCTATGCAAAAAATTTTCTTTTTAGTATCCCTCTAGAATCAAATGGTCACGTTAGCAGGCCAAGTGGTCCGAGTTGATTCCAGTTGCAAATCATTCTAGTTACAACTCAGCTGGTCCTAGTTAATTCCAGTTGCAAATGGTTCTAGCAGCTGCTATTTTTTGGACACTTTTTAGTCCTGGTCTAAGTGATATACGATCTAGAATAGTTGGTCACAATTCTCCTTAACGTATTGTGATCACACATACATGCCCCATCTGTGTAACTTATGATGCTATGCGAGTCCCAGCAAGGGAAGCGAGCACCAGAGGAGGAAGCCATATGGGGGTCACTGAATTGCAAGCCAGGAAAAGTTGCGTTCCGAGGATGAATGGATAGATTTTTGGAGCATCCTCCTTTGTGTCATGGTGACAGTTAGTTCTACTAAGTTTTATTATTACTCTCCATGCTCTGTAGTTTCTATGAGAAAAGTGTCAATTCCAATCTTTCCCTTTTGTCATGAAAAAATGTTTTCTTTCTGCAGGTTTTCAGCACCAATCTTCCAGCCTTCTCTCTCTGGTCTACTGAAAATTCCTTTATGCACCCAAAACTGTCTTTTAAACCGAATATTACTCTGCAGACTTACTTCTTTGATAACTGGGTGTGCTGGAGTTAATGAGCAGGGAGCACATCAAGTAACTCTAGGGCGCCGTGCTCTAGGGTGTGGGCCAATGCAACACCATCTGAAAGAGTCTAGATGGCATTGTACGAAACAGGAAAAGAGAAAGAAGCATCATGGAGGTGGCATCTGTGCTCTGTTGCCTTTAAAGGTGTACTTAATGGGGGTGGGTGGTTGTGGCACAATGTATGCCCTGAGAATTATCATGGATGAACTCGCAAAGTAGCTTTCAACCTTGTGGTTGTATTATGCAACAGCTGGCTAATGAATTATTTCTGGTGATGCCATATGTTGGTCTAGTGATGCAATTACACTTTTTAAATTGAAGACAGTAAACAAAAAGAAGAAGGGGAAAATGAATAGAGCATTACCTAACTTCTTGAAATCACAAACGGCATTTCCTTAGAGTAGCTCACATTTTTTTCTAACGACACTTTACAGTTTATCAAAACAATAAAACATATCACCCATGCAAAATACCAATAAGCCCTGAAAAAACTACCATATACTACGAATTGCAGCATTTTTAAAATGATGTTTGCACAATGCACACCAAGGGTGTGGCACCCAAATACTCGCACATAACACACACAGTGAAACTTCATCTATGCAACTTGATCTGCATATATATTGTTGCGGGAAAGATACATACTCAAAGGAGTACATAAAGATGTATTAGCAACTGGTTAAGCAAGCAACTAGCATGAAGCAACACTTTTAGATTGATTTTCTTTCTCTTATAGTTATGATACAAACACTGAACTTTGATCATCTGCAAAATAACTAATTAGGGATCGATTTAAAGATGGCCTGCAACATTGCACTTATTCTAGTGTGCACTTATCCAGTGATTTTAGTTTCTGCTTTTTTCTACTGTCTTTGAAAACAATACAGCGATAGTTATGTTTGTCTTCTTAATTTACCTTCAAGAAAAAAACAATGTTGCATTCTTAAAATCAGCATGTTCGGCAAGTCTGTATTTTCATGTTCACATACCATATTTACATAATTGTAAGTCGACTTGAATGCAGGTCGACTGCCCTAAAATTGCACCATATGCTAAAAAACAAAAACAGGAAATAAAACGAAAACGTGTTTTATAAAGGAAATTTACTTGTGATGTCACTGAAAAAAAAAAACAAATTTTAATGTGGAAAGGTGGCTTCATAGCAACACGTAGGGATCACTTCTAGAAAATTTTTTGCGAATAGTTGCTGAGAACATGTGTTTGTACACAAGAAAGCATAGTATATGTTACAGGTATAGCCAGAACATAAATGTGGCATCGTAACCATGCCACAGCGTGCCCGATTTCTCATATGTTCCAGCTTAACATCGACCTTGCAACCTAAACTAGTTTCAGTATTAATTGTAAGTTGACCCCTCAACTTTTGATTTCAAATTTAGATAACATGAGTCAGCCTACAATGATACAAATACAGCACAAGCAACTTCACATATCCATTGAGAACAATAATCCTCATTTCCACCAGATTTAACCTAAATGGTAAAGTTTCCTTTGAACATGTTAAATGATGCATCATTCATAAAACAAACAAATGTTTTAGAACATTTCAGTACTGTACTGCAAAAGTTGCAATTACCATTTTGAACTTTGCATATACATTCCCATTACACGGATATTATTTTCACCAAATATACTTAAGAAATCATGCTCAGCAATGAATGGACCTTATATTAAGCATGAAAATGAGGAATTGGTAATTGCTACAAAAGCTTACATAAGAACAGACTCTACCCAAAAGTTGCAAGGTCTCCCCTCCTCACCCACCCTAACAAATGACAAAACGTGGGCTGATCTGGCGTGCAGTACACACAGGCCCGAAGGGAAACGAGAGTTTCCCTTCGTGTCACAAACTAAGCAGGGGCTCACAAACTAAGCAAGAGCCTTGACAGCACTCTCATTTCCCCCCCAACATTCCAAGAGGATAAAAGGACGCATCCCAATGGCCAATCTCAAAATTTTTGCTAACGAGTGAAGCATGTGATAAAATACCAGCCACCCTCCCCCCACCCTAGATCATTAGAGGACGGATACCATAGACCTTGTAGGATTCAAGCAGAGAGCCCCCTAAACTTGATTGAGCAAAATGCTTTATGGGCATGCTTTATAGGCATGCCTGACCGTGATGCGATGGCTTGCCACCACTTTATCATATTTTGAGAGAATGCCTAAACAGACTGTTAAAATACCAATTTAGGTTAGTTTAATTTATCTAACACTTTTGAGCTATGGAAGGCACAGCTTGGCAGCTCAGATTTAAAGAGCAAATAGTGCTTTTTGGTCGCATCAGCAGCTAGTGGAGCCGTGGACTTGGGGTCTCATCCACCTAAAGTTTTTCTTCTGTGCCATAGAGTTCTTTAGAACTATTAAGAAACAGCCACTAATGGCAACATAAATGCTTTCAAGCAGTAGATTAATTGTTTTACTTACATTCTCTAAACTTCACCAACGGATTACTTAATGGATACACTCCATTAAGGACCAATTCTTCTCAGATAAGCCTCACAATCTTTAAGCACCCATAGCATATCCTGCGCGGGGTGCAGAATCTTATTGCACTTGGACTTAATTAGGCCACAACTGCATGCACTTTTTTTTTGTGCCAGCTCTTGTAGTGCACTCAGGCGATTGTCACATATGTAACATTGCTTAGGTCAGGTGCACGAGACACCACGTCTGTGCCAGTAGTTTGCTCTAGGTCAGAGATGCAGGAATGAAATTTGCAAATATGGTAGACTGCCTTACCCCACTGTCATTACTATAGTGTTCATCAAAGTGATGGAAAAGCAGTGGCACGTTTTCGATTTGCAGCGCAAGAGAGGTGCAAACAAGGGTTAGGATGAAAACTGTGGTTACAGGATGCTTGACCGAATTCGTAGTGCCTCTCATTATACACTGGCACTATGTCCTGCCTTGTCATTGAACTTGCAGTGGTGCACAACACTCGCTCTGCAATGATTAACAAGGTGGCTGCAAGACTCATTCCCTCATACCTGTCAAAACCTATAGCACAGGGTAATGAGTCCTTTTTGCTTTATTGGCATAAATGTTTTGCATACAGCAAACTCACAGTAGATATGTGTATGAATGGGTATTTTTATTTTGCAATGATAAGCAGATCTATTCAGCTGGCTAATCTGTGTGCCCATGAGTAACAAGCTTACAATTTGTCGCAATAGCAAGTCGCTGGGCTAGACTACATTTTGGATTCTGTGTACTATAAGCATTACAACATGCATACATTTTTCTTTACGCGAGTTGGGTTTCTAGCGTCCCTTACCTTTGGGTGTGCAAAACACCCAACTCTCCAACACGTGCATGGTTGCATACCTCCAAACCAACAAATGATTATGCTAGTGCATTTTAAATTTTACAGCTTGTACAAACTGCACACGCAAACGCATGTTGAGTGAACTATTATGAAGAAAGAAAGAAGTAACTAGACACTAACATTTGTGTTTGGAAACATGACACTTGTGTCTGCCCAAAAAGGTTGGCTTGTCGTTTTACAATGGCTTGAGTCAATGTCACCACATGCCCTGAGGTAACATTTTAGCCTGGTAGTATTGCAATCTGATACGTACAGTTTGTTTAGAAATATAAAAAGCACTTTAGTAAAGGTGATTTAAAATGTTGTGAATGTGAGCAATGTAGACACAGAGAAACACACCACGGTTGTTGGTTAGCACTTTTTTATTAAATAGCTACAACTAATCTATAAAACATAAGGAAAGTATTTTCCTAATATATATTGACTCTTAGACTGACCTTTGTTTTAGTAGATATCATCTTTAGGATCCTATCTCTCTGCCATTCAATTCAAGAAGAAATCTAGGCTGCAGTACAGTGCTACCTGTAAGACGCAAGTAATTCACTATAGTATATAAAAAAACAATCATCGGATGTATAGTGAATTGCATCTCTGAAATTAAAAAAAAGTACAGAATGAAAATAATAGATCACACCCTTCAAAAGGTGACGTGGCCTGGACAGGCAAATCTCATTATTTGGTGCTCAAAGCCAATGGAGTCTCGGGAAGAGCATTAACATGTGGCACCATCACTGACTTGAGTGCACATGACAATGGCATGCTTCTCAAAAAACGGAATTTGCAGCCCAACAACCAACACTTTCAATTTGCTACGGATTTCAACTTTTAAGTTAGCGCTACATGCGAGACCACCCACAGCTGAAATAAATAACATCACTGCAGCAGACAAACAGGATGAAGTAGGTTTGAGTTCTGAGAAACAACAGCCAGCATGAACAGGCCGATGTCCAGAAAGACACTACCCTACCATTCACTTGAGTGCAGCTCCCCAAGTCACACATGTTGGCACGCAACAAAGCAAGCACCAATGAGAGGAAATGAAAACTAGACTAACAAGCATACATTTTAACAGGTTTTCTGAGCCAGTGTGTTTAGAACGAAAAACAAACAAAAGCACCAGTGTCCACCAGAACACTTGTTCCTGCTATACAAAAGGAGACTTTTATTTTTGATTGACGTGCATGCTACCATTGTTTTGAGTGGAAGGAGGAAGAAAGCTAAAACCAGAGATGAGAAACAAAAGCTGACATACTTGGCCAGCCTTTTCAAGCTGTCACCTCGCATTCATCTGTCAATTACAGTGAAAACAAATGAGAACATTCTAATAATTACGTGGGGCTTGTATATATATATATATATATTCATATATATATGTATATAATATATAAATGTGTTGCCAACGCAATAATAGTAACAATAATAATAATACATAATTATCGCAATGTACAAATAGTACTATCACATCTTGCTTCATAAGCTTGCACTTTCTGCTGACAGGGAAGTGAAAGTGAGCATTCATTTGCTCACTGCAGAAGTCCTGAAATGGACTTCGGTAACAAAGCTGCTTGCTGCTGCATCTTCCTCACTGCCAATGTCTTCAAAGCTGAGGTTTGAGAATGCATTGCTTGCTTTCTCTGTTTTCCGCTTATCCTTGCGACTTGCTGAAGTGCGGAGATGTGCCGCAACTCGACGGCCTCCTTCAACTAAATCCTCAGTCATAATTGCATCTTCTGTCCTGAGCTGCTGGTAACGTTTTTTGTCTTTGCGAAACTTCCTCACGCTGCCTTCTTCGTCCGAGCTTGTTGGGCTTTTATGAGAATCAGGAAGAGTTTTGGCAACATTACCAGTGCGAGCTGCTGTAGCCAAAGTTGCTTCCATTGTTTCTCGCATACTGCTGGTACTTTCCACAGCAAAAGGAGTAGATCCAAAAAGGTCTTGATGACTCTGCGTGCGTGTTGGAATGCTAGGGGCATGGGGCTGCGGTGCCATAGACATTGACACGACAGAGTTATGGCGGCTTGCTGGCTGCGCCACTACTGACATGCTTTCATTGAAGAGGATCTTGTTATTAGGGGTTGCCTTCAGCTGTGTAAATGGAGCCGAACCAAAGAGATCTGCTTCAGAGTGTCCTCTGGTCAGCTCGCTTTCAGAGTTAGCATGCACAGAGAGACGCTGATAGTCCATACGATAATCCTGTGCGGCCACCTTATAGTCGGAAAACGCAGAGCGTGTGTAGCTGTGTTGCTGTGCTACTGGTGGAGTCGTAACAGCTGTAGCAGTTGGCAACGCAAGCGGGGGCACTGAAGACACTGATGGTTGGACTACAGAGGAGCTGCTTGTGGCATGAACTGATGGCCTAGCAGGCTCGGACAACTTTCTTGGTGGCCTCGGCTTGCGGAAAGGAGCTTGTGTAAAAACATCAGCACAATCCCTGCTTGCCACTGCTCCTTCCGTCGGAAACGACTCTCGCTTCGGCGGAGGAAGCAGGCTCTTTTGAACTTTACTGACACTAAGCTGTTCCTCTTCTGTGGCAGGCCTTATCTCAGTCTCTGATAGCTGATCTTCATCCTCTAGCAGCGGCTTCTCACCCTCCATATGTCCAACAAACATGTCTTGAAAGCCACGCGCCTGCAAGCTGCCTGTTTCTAGAACTCTTGCAGCACCATCTGCTGGCACTAAAGACTGCTTAGTCAGAACAAAAAGTTCTTTTTTAGGATCAGACTTCTTGCTTGCCCTCTGTCGACCAACTTCCACAGCATCTTCCTCTTCACTCAGCTCAACCCTTGCCTGTAGATCACTTGCAGAGCCAATAGAATCTTTGTCCTCATCTCCAGTTGGCTTGTGTTTTCGGCTGGATTCACCTCGAGTATAATCTTCATCATCTAAAAGCTTTTCATACTTGGATCGATCCTCAACAGGTATTCTGGCAAAGGCTCCAAACGATGCCAGTGCTTCCTTGGTAGACCTCCCACCCTGGCTGCCCTCCTGAGAAGCACTGGAGTTCTCACTGCAATGCCGAGCCCGAATGATGATCCCATCACCATGATCTTCGTACAGTGGCACATAGCCAGCTGCCTCTAAAGGTCCTGCAATCAAATAAATGAATGACTCATCAAGTGACAGTCTGCTACACAGGTACTGTTAGGGTACCTGAATGGTAAAAATGAGCTCAATACGCTGTCCTTGCTCTGCACTTAAATGCAGTAACCAAAACTGGCAATGTAGTGCAATAACTTCTATAAAGATTTCACAGAGAACAAGCGCTGTTCTCGCTACTGCACTTAAATGCCACTGCGGTGAGCAATAACAAAAACTAGCAATGTAGTGCAATAACTTCTATAAAGATTGAATTCACAGAGAACAAGAATGCGTACTGCTTTTTGGTGATGTCAAATAGGACACACAAATGCAATTAAACTGTAAATATGCTAGAAACTGAATTATTACACTTTGTATGTCACAAGCATGACCTAACTATGGAGCGTGCTGTAGAGAGAGGAGGGGCGCTAGATTAGTCTTGACCAACTGGGTTTTCTTAAAATTTCATCATCCAAAAACAGTCACTGTGCCTGGATTGAACTCGTGACCCTGACCTAAGCAGCATGACACCGTAGTCTACTAAGCTACAGTGATGGGGGCTCTTTATAAATGTTGTATTCAATTAAAAGCTACAGGGATAATGTGAGCAACAGAGTAATAAGCGTGCTACTGAGTGGCATGTTATACCTTTTTGCTACAGTTAAAAGAGTGCCGTGCAAAATCAAACTAGACAAACAGCTCTTACATCTACAACTATTCAAGAATAAGTGGTCGTTGGTCTATAAATATGTCTAAATTATAGTGTTAAAATATACCAAAAAATGATTTCTTGAAAAAAAAAAAAAAAGAAGCAGCCGCGCCTGACTTTAGTTCCTTCTAGTACTGCTAATGTACATTTGGGAGCATGAATAAAGCAAAGTAATTAGCACTATGCTCTCACACAGAATGTGAGTGTACTTTTCTATAGTTAACATATAATACCCCTATCACATGAGGCAACTTAAGTGCACTTTGAGCGAGTGTCATTTGTGCGCTGTCACACGAGAAAGTTTAGTGTCACTCCCTGTAAAGTACACTTGCCGGAGTGTTTTCTCCAACCTCACTTCGCTGTGACGAAGTGTGTAGCCTTGGTACCAGTGGCTTGCACAGAAATACGCTGTTGCCTAAAGTGGCACTCATACAATATTTAAACCATTGTTTTCGTTTTGAGGAATACCAGTATGTATTAAAACAAGTCATAATACAACAAAAACAAAAAAACCTCGCTACTCTCACCCTAGGGCACTTTGCAGCCAAGTCCGCTAGGGGGATGCGGCAGCACATGCTGTGCAATGGCTGTGTCTGTCGCATTGTTTACTTCCAGGCACACTTGTATGCGCTACTTCCACAAAGATAACATGGTCTGACGATGAGACATAGGTGCAGAAATAAATATATGTTGCGCTACAATTCTGCCAATTGCCACTGCCATCATTTCTAAAGTACACTTCGCTTTTTTTGTATAGCAGCCAACCACCAAAATGACATTTTACGAGAGTAAGTATACTCGCTCGAAGTGCACTTAAATTGCCATGTGTGAGAGGGGTATTACAGTACCTGAGCTCTGCAAGGCTGAAAGAAAATGCTTCAACTCAGCAATAAGTCTACTTTTCAGTAACAAGAATACCATCACTTGCACGTGTGCAATTTCATATTTTATACATGAAACAGTTGCAAACAGGCTGTTCTTAAATTATGACATGGTTTCAGTACTTATTGTGAACAAATTCTCACAAATAGCAATAAAAGTTTGTAGTGAAATGCAATCATACCTACTACTATTCATTAATCAATCAGCATCAGAAGTATCAAATGAGTAGTAAGAAAATTGTAGCCACTTCTTCCTGGTTCTACCAGGGAAAGGCAAAAATAAAAATTTTACGTATTTCAACTTTTAAATAAAGTGTTCCATTTTACGTAACAAGCATGCAACCCATTATTAGCAATGCAGCACCACATGCAAATTTAAGTGCAAAAGATTGTGTCAGGCCAAAGAGCAGGCAGGGAATAAATCCCATCAGGGAGCAGAATTCACACGTTTTTTCATGTTAAGAACAGTCTAAACAGCAATAAGTAAATGAAAAGAAACCCATGCTAAATGTGAATGCTGAAAGGAAAAATAATTTTTTTTCTCATTATACATTTTGCTTTGAAGTTAGCTTAAAGCCTAAGCAAAATATTGGCAGCTTTCCGAGACTACTGGAACAAGTGATACTTTTATGCATTTCAAATGAGGTCAATAAGAAAAATTTCGGATACTTACTATCATGTGAAGAGAGTCTGTGACTGCACACTAAGGCTTTGTGCCTTCAGACTGCCTGCATGCTTAGGAGACTATGTAATATGATGTACTTTGAATGGTAATGGAAAACACTTGGTACAAGAAAACCTCAAAAAGTTTATTTGAAAAATTCATAAAAAATGATATGAAAACAATGCCAAATACTACATTGTACCGCCACAAGCCTATACGTTACCTTGATTAGCTGTGATTGTGCAATGTGCACTGGCAAGTTTTCTTTTCACCACCATGGACAACTAGTAGGCATTAAAGCACACAAAAGACATGCATATGTTATTCACCACACATGCAAAAGCCCCATGCATCCCAGACATGACAGCCCTGAAAAACACATGCAACACTTAGTAAGAAACCATCATGCACCCTTAACTTGGCAAGACAGTGCCACTTACATGAATTGAAACACTACCTTACTGTTCCAATAGGAAGACATATGCCTTATGAAAAAAAAAAAAAAAAAAAGACAAGATTTTCCTCCCCCCCCCCACTACCTCTTCAGGTTATTCTTGCAAGGAAATACACAAATTATAATTATAGCAGATGCTATAGTGAGCAAGTGCTGCACAATAAAACGATAACTATGTCCTCAAATTAATATATCAGATTTCATTTAAAGGAGTACAGACATGAACTTGAAATGTTCCCAGTTCCTCACTCTCAATGAAAACACTGATGTGGAGAGGCCTAAAAAAGAGTATTGTGGTGCCTGGTAATGCATGGAATATATTTTTAATACTGCTACCTTGAATGAACACTTTGGATTTGAATGCTGAGGGGCAGACGTTGTGTGGAGACAGCAACTCGCAACATACCAGAGGCAGATCCTTCATCTGCTCGTGGTGCATGAAAGCAACGATGAGTAAATTATTGTTCTGTGACCCCTGACAGCAATTTCTGCAATTCAGGCTGCATGCACGATGCAGAGTTCGCAAACTCGGTGGAACTGTATTGACTTGTCGGAATAATTAATGTCAGTTACACCGGGGCTGGCTAGCTAATGCTCAGCAACAAAAGCTTTAATATAAAAGTATATATATTTTATACGGTGTTATCTGACTCCAGTGTTCTTCATAACAAAAAAAAAAAAAAAAAAGGAAAAGTCCCTCGTACGATGTCACAAAATCGTGTCAGTACTCCTTTAAGTCCAACTGATATTTCCATAATCTCCACACAGGAACAGTACAAGACGAACAAAAATTTTGAGAAAACTTCACCAAAACGCACAAGGCAATAACGCTGCAGCTGTTGACATTCAAGGCTTGCACAACATAAGTTAGTCACCAGAAGTGCTACAAGAGCAGAGAGGTTATATATAACACTGCAAGTTTTGTACTCACAGCATCACAACACAAGACATTCACAACAGTGCTCCCTTAAAGGAAAAAAAGGGGGTTTGGGAGCGGGGCAAAACAGGCCAGCAGCACATCGTAAAGGCATATCTCCAAATGCAATAATAATGCTACTTATCATTACCTGCTAAAACTGGAAACCTTCCAATGACTAGTGTTTATCTGGGAGAGGAGGAAGACAATTCTTTTAGTCAGGAACAGTCTCCTAAGCAAGCGACAAGTTATCGAAAACTACACTGCTGGCTTATTTGTTTAAGCAGCAGACAACTTGAATTTTCTAGATGTTAACACGACAATTTTGTACAACATTAGAAATATACTTGTTTTTACAGATTCATGCCTTCCAGGTTTACCTGACAATATACAATCATAATTATGATTTGCAAATACGACACTGCTATGTCAGGTATCTTACAGCTCCACATATAGGTACATCCTGCTTTTCCAGGATGAAAAAAAAAAAGATAACTTTTTCCCTGTACACAACTTCTGACAATATAAATATGTAATAAGTAAATAGTAACTATACTTTATCATGTGAAGATTATTGGTATTCTGCTTCTAAGGAGATTGAATCTTTAAGAAATATAAAACATTTAGGTGGCAACCAAAGCCGTAACTGAAGAGCACTAACTACATATAAAACATGTTGATTGAAGAGTCAACATATCCTCTCAAAGTACTAAATGCAACATGCAGGCAAAGTTGGCACAAAAACTATCTCTCTCTTTTTCCTTATCTCCTTTTTCATATGATATATCACAATACTTGAACAGTGCCATTTAGAAATTTCCAAGTGGGAGTACAAAGCTGGGTTGCACAGCTAAGCATCACCTATGTAGAGACTTCTTGCCAAATTGGCAATATTCCCTAATCGCAAGGTAGTTGTGAGTGAAAGATCACATAAAAAAATACAGACTAAGCAAATGATTACCCCAAAACTAGTGTCCATTAATGACAAAATTGAGTATCGAGCTTTTAACTGTGCATGAGCATGTAGTTCACAAGACATTAGAAAAAAAAATAATAATAATAATAACAGAAGTAAATATGAAAAAGACATTGTTACAGCATATAAGGCCTCATTGAAATAATAAAATTGGATTCCCAATTTAGGCAACTGAGCAAAACCATCGTTTAATGCATGCATTTTTGCCAACAGACATGCTATTGATTTGGCTGGCAAGCCGAGATGCTAGTAGAAATGAATATTTCATAGCAAAACCTGACACTGAATGATGGCACTTGACTTTCAATGATTCACCTGCTCAACACTTGCCGCTGGAGTAAACGGCGTAATTTAGTAAAGTTGGCACCAGATCAACCATTGATACACAACAAGGGAGTGAGTACACAT